AGAGGAGCAACTTTTCTTTGAAGGGCACAAATGTCTTTTATGCATGAATGCAACCCCATCTAGATGGAACGTCTGCACTAATGCACAGCTGGGGTCTGGCTCCCACCGTAATATTAAAAAGTCAGGCACAGATTTCTTGAAATGAGACCTTCACATTAGATAGTATTTCAGGGGTCTGGAGATATAAATTTTACCAACAGAGGGTGGGGGTTTTTTTGTAGTGGGAGGGAAGGGAGTTCAAAGCTTCAAATATAGCATTTAAGGGGAGGGGAAGGGAAAGGAAAGTGGAAGAAGAGAAGGGAAGGGAAGGAAAGAAGGGGAGGGGGGGAAAGTGGAAGAAGGGAAGGGAAAGTGGAAAAAGGGGAGGGACAGGGAGGGGAGGGGAGGAAAGTAGAAGAAGGGAAGAGAAGGAAAGTGGAAGAAGTGGTGGGGAGGGGAGGAAAGGGGAAGGGAAGTGAAATGGAAGAAGAGAAGGGAAGGAGGAAAGGAAAGGGGAAGAAGAGAAGGGAATGGAAGGAAAGGGGAAGAAGGGGACAGGAGAGGAGAGAAGAAGATGGCACTACAGGGGATGGATTACAGAAGGTTTAAAATATGAAGTACTGCTTGAAAATGAAAAAGGGACCCATTACTTAAGTCATACCCTACAGGTTTTCTTTGGGCATCCTCTAAAACAAACATGTCAAACACAAGGCCCGGGGGCCGGATGCGGCCCGCAAAGTGGTTTCATGTGGCCCGCGAAGCCATCCTGGAAACAGTGAGGGGATGGCCCCCGCTGCCTTGGCCCTGGCCCAGGCCGGCCGGGAGCCAATGTACAATTTTGTGGTGGCCATCTATGCTGAAACACATTCAGTCTTAGCTCCACAAGGCTGTCTGGAAACAGCAAGAGACCGGCCCCTGCCGCGTCGGCGCTGCCCCCTGGGTGCATGCTGGGGAGGTGTCACCCTTTGTGAGGAATGAAGAAATGGACCATGCCTCTGTCCCACTCCTGCCCAGGCCCCCACAGGCACCCTTGACGGGAACAATGTAGAGCTGGCCATGCCCACCCAGTAGGCCACACCCACTCCATCCACACCCACCCAGTAGGCCACACCCACCCTGGCAACACACACCTGCCCCACCCCGAGGGCAACCGCAATGCTGATGCGGCCCTCAATGAAATTGAGTTTGACACCCCTGCTCTAAAAGAACAAAGACTAAAAGAACACAGCAGTTTTTGCATTACAGGCCCTTCACTGCTGGAGGACCTCCTGGAAAATTTTAATGGAAATTTCACTGAGATTGTGGTGCAACGTAGTCTGGATTCCCAGGAGGGAGCAGCTGCATGCCAAAGAACCAAGAGACAGCGAAGTTCAGATACAGGTGGTGCTCGACGTATGACCGCAATTGAGCCCAAAATTCCTGTCGCTAAGCGAGACATTTTCCAAATGTGTTTTGTCCCATTTTACCACCTCTCTTGCCACAATGGTTAAGTGAACCGCTGCAGATGTTTTAAGTTAGTGACATAGTTGTTAGGTGAACCTGGCTTCCCCATTGACTTTGCATGTCAGAAGGGTCGCCAAAGGAGATCACATGACCTGGGGGACACTGCAACCGTCATAAATGCAAGCCAGTTGCCAAGTGTCTGAATTTTGAACATGTGATCACAGGGATGCTGCAGTGGTTGAAAGTGTGAAAAACGGTCATAAATCACTTTTTTCAGTGCCGTTGTAACTTTGAACAGTCACTAAAAGAACTGTCGTAAGTCGAGGACTACCTGTAGTTTGGTTGGGAGGAAAAGGGTCAGGAGAGCACCTCCTTAGAAGTTCTCAGAGTAAATCCTTAATGACGCAAGTCGTTGCTTTAGTTTGGCAAGATTTCAGCCTGTGGATGAGGAACAATAAAGGAAACTCCTTAGAAGTCAGTGGGCGTGTTTTTCTTGAGGAAAAAATTCTACCTTCCAGGTCAGTTAAGTTTCAGGAATCCTCACTGACCAACTGAAACCAGAAAGCCTTTCTTATTTCCCCTCTGCCCAGTATCTCAAAATGATGATTGGCGAGTCTATTTTGGTTTCCTCCTTCGTTCCATGCTCAAAGCCCGTGGAATGGAATCACATGACTAAAGGTCTTTAAGATCCTGACTCTCAAGCCACATTGTGGCCTCCCTATGCTAATTTTGCTTGATGAGTTAATTACACTCTTCTTCTGTTCATGGGTGGAATTTCACCAGGTTGACAGGTTAGCAAAGGAAGATTTTGATTGCACTGCTAAGAATCTGCTGACAGCCATCGACCTTGAAGTTGACTTGGGAGAAGCAGTAGGGACACTTGGGGACGAAGGACTCGGCATGCTCAGAGTTTCTCTGTGGCCTGCAACTTGGCTGCTTCATGAGGCCACCACAATAATGCTAGGAGCTCCTACGGGTCCACAAAAGAGCTGGAGCAGATAATTAAGCATCTGGCCTTCATCATGAATCAATCACTCATTCAGAGCAAATCAGGCTGATTTAAAATTAATAAGTTCACATTAGGAGTCACCCTGCAAAAACTAGTGCAACAAAACCAATTTGGATCTCTTAATGAAGCTGTGCACCCTACGTGCACTAACAGGCACCCGTGTGATCGAAGGAGACTTGCCAAAACCCACAATTCCATTCAGCCGAAGGTGGCTTCAGTCTGCAGTTTCCATACTCCACACTTTCAGCGTCTCATATAGGGCAAGAGTTATCTTAAGCACAAGTGACTCCTAAGCATATCTCAGGGTCAAATTTTTCCAATTATAAGGGGCGAGTCCTGACTGTCAAAGCAATTTTCAATTTTTCTGCCAATAAGAACAGTAGAGAACCTCATCAGTTCAACGGAAATGTTTCTTGGTGTGTGATTTTCCTGCTCTAAGCCCACAGTACACATGACAGAACTCACCTGGAGGAAAGGCATGTATACACTTGGAGAAAGAAAGAGAGACACTTAAAGAGAAGCCCCTCGACTGCACCTGAAGGCAGGACAAGAAGCAATGGATGGAAACTAATCAAGGAGAGAACCAACCTATTACTAAGGAGGAATTTCCTGACATTGAGAACAATTAGCCAGTGGAACTACTTGCCTCCAGAGGTTATGGGTGCTCCACTGCTGGAGGTTTTCAAGAAGAGATTGGACAGCCATTTGTCTGGAATGGTATAGGGCACAGGTCGGCAACCCGCGGCTCCGGAGCCGCATGTGGCACTTTGAGCCTTCTCCTGCGGCTCCCAGCCTCCTCCGCCATGTGCAGAGAGAGGGAGAGACAGAGAGACAGAGAGAGGCACTTGCGGTTCCCCCCTCTCTCTCTCACTCTGTGTGTGTGTGTGTGTGTGTGTGTGTGTGTGTGTGTGTGTGTAAAAAAGAGAGTGGCCTCACACTGTTGTCCCACAAGCTGACAAGCTCATTGGGCGGGGCTCCTGCCTTTGCTGCGTCTCCGCAGGAAGCAGCAAAGCAGAAAGCAGCAGCTCTCTCTTTTGGCTAATTGATCTCTCTCTCTCTCTCTCTCTCTCTCTCTCTCTCTCTCTCTCTCTCTCTCTCTCACACACACACACACACACACACACACATACACACACACACACACACACACACACACTGAGTGGGGGAAGAGGACTGGCAGACCAAGGGCAGGAGAGAGCCAGCCCAATAAGAATGTGTGTCAGCTTGCTGGAACTTGCGGCTCCCAGTGTTTTCTTTTCTCTGGGAAACGGGTCCAAGTGGCTCTTTGAGTGTTTAAGGTTGCTGACCCCTGATATAGGGTCTCCTGCTTGAGCAGGGGGGTGGACTAGAAGACCTCTAAGGTTCCTTCCAACTCTGTTATTCTGACTCATTATGTTGGTTAAAACTTCTGCATTAGATAAAGGGTCCTTGGCACTCTCAGAGCTTGGTTGCTTTCCTGCAGGCGTTTCCTTATCCAAACTAGTCCACTGATGACGTTACCTAGCTGGGTCATGAAACGTCTGCAAGAAAACAACCAAGCTCAGAGAGCACCAAGGACTCTTCCTTTCAACCCTGAACTACAAATATTCTCCTTTACTGGTCCTGCACTAAGTGTAGATCAAAGAATTAGAAGGACTGGAGTATGAACTTGCTAATACAAAGTAAAGAGGGGTTAGGTGGAAAAGTAAAACATCATTTCTGGGGAACCGGGGGGGGGGGGATATGAACAGTGTATAAAGAGCTTCTTGATATCCTTCTCCGTTGATTTACCTGTCTGTCCCCCTACCTAGGTACCCACAGGCACGTCTGCACAGATAGTTGTTACACAGACCCCAAGCAATTCTTAGGTAATGTCAGAGAAACTAAGCAAAAGCAAATGAGAGCCAATTATAACTGAGAATGATCTATCACACAAATAGATTTTCACTATTAAATACAATTTATCCTGTTTAATTAGTATTTTTCTGGACACAATAGTCTGGACTCAAATACCATCTTTTCTCCTTGGAACTTCTAATTATTGCCACAACCCGTGCTATTAAGCTGCTCCCCGGGCCTCTTCCAGCTTTTGTGCCATTTAAAGCCACAAAGATTTTTAATTATCTCCGCTAAACTGTCAAAGATACCTTGAAGAATCTGTGGCCTCCCTACCCTGAGGGGGAAAAAAGGAAAAAAAGAGAATTTTTAACCATAAATTTATTTATTTTAATGAATGTGGGGAGAAAAACTCCTGGAAATAGCCATTTAAATGCAAATTCTGATATTCCAGAGCTGGCACAGATATTGGGTGTGGCAGCCTATGTAAGTCAGGTAAATTCCGAACCTAGGAATTTGATAATCCAGTGATGAAGCACCAAATAGGACCTTGCCAATTTTATTTATTTATATTTATTTATTAAATTTATATGCCATCCATCTCTCTATCCAAAACGATTCCGGGTGGTTTATAATGTAATAAAAATAGAAATGTAAAAATAGTTATAAATATTAGAGCAGTTAAATTGCTCGGCTATTGTAAGCATCGCAGAACACTGACATTCGAGTCAATTATCCGTTCTCGTGCACTTACCCAACATTCCCATTCCAAGCATAAAAGCATCCATAGTATATGGTAATCCGCGAGCTCGTCCTCGTGTCCCTGGTGGAAACATCACTTCTTTAGGTTGTGCTTTCTTACATTCCACCTATTAAGCAGAAACATGTTACAAATGAAATGCAAATAAATTCAGGCAAAATGTCAAAACCTGAACTGGTTAAGATATGCAGGGTGGAGCTGGGAATTATTTTTAGCAGTCTTCTGTAAAGGTGCATTTTAAAAACAGGCCAGAAAGTGATTTCCAAGGAGTAAATAAGCACAAAAAGTGGTTTCGGAAAATGCCCAGTTTAGACAGGTAGGAAAGAAAAATATGATGATAAATTGTACAGCTACGATACAACCATCAAAATGGGCACTGAAGTTAGATGCGTGGAAGCTGAGGGCAGCTCTATGCCATCTCTTCCTACTGAAATAATGGTATGATTAATGCAGTTTGAGCTGTTCAAGAATATTGGGGTGGGCAGAATAAAACAAATCAAAATGGTAATTGAAAAAAGAGGTATCAGGATCATCATCATCCTCTTCATTTTTTTTTATACACTCTCGTGGATGCCCTTCCTCCAGACTGGGGCATTTGGCCAGAGAACAGAACTCTTACTTTATGGAAGGTCTGTGCAAAAATAGAACAGAAAGCACCTTATGATAGCAACTGTCATAGCAATGCCGGTGGGTCCTCGACTTACGACCACAATGAAGGCCAAAATTCCCATTGCTAAGCGAGGTAGTTAAGGGAGTTTTGCCCCATTTCACCTTTCTTGTTAAGTGAATCGCTGCAATTGTTAAGTTAGTAACATGGTTGTTAAGTGAATCTGGCTTCCCCATGGAATGAAGGTCACAAAAGGGGATCATGTGACCCTGGGACACGGCAGCCGTCATAAAAATAGCAGCCGAAGCAGCCAAATTTTGATCACGTGACCATGGGGAATGCTGCAATGGTCATAAGTCTGAAAAACCATCATAAGTCACTTTTTCCAGTGTCCTTGTAACTTTGAACAGTCACTAAACGAATGGTTGTAAGTCGAGGACTATCTATCACGGCAGAGGTTGGGATTACCTGTTGAACAGAGATTGTGAAAACATTTGCCAGAATCTTCCTCTCCTTAAAAACATTTTCTCCTTATGGTTCATTTAGACAATTAGACAAACACCCCCTTTTTTTTTTAATTAGAAGCTGAATGTGGATAAGCAATCAAGACAAAACTGGAGCACAGAAGGAAGAAGAATGCTCCCCCCACATATATGACACCAATGAAAATCATTCTGTGTCCTCAAACGAACAATTGGGTCAGCAGGGAATCAATAGTGCCTTCTCATCTCAGTGGAAAGTAGGGGTGGGGTGGATTTTTATTTGCACACTTCCTAACATATCATGGATGCCGCTTAGCCTATAGTTCATATAGCCCCGGTGATGGCAGACGTACAATGCTTGCGTCACAGGTGTCACCAATTGTCGTTTTTAGTGACACGTCAGGTTTACAGACCCTCTGGAAGTCGTGCTGCTCTAGAGTGGCCCCTGGAGCTTCCCAAAAGTGTATGAGAATGGGGCACACTTTCCCACTCCTTTTGGAGGGCTGGTATAGGAAAGGGGTCTCCAAATTTGGCAACTTTCAGACCTGGGGATTTCAACTCCCAAAATTCCCCAGCCAGTCATGTTGGTTGGGGAATTCTGGGAGTTGAGGTCCATAAGCCTTAAAGTTGCCAAGTTGGGAGGACCCGGCTGAGCCTAAGGGGGGGGGCAAATGCATCATCATCATCATAGTCATCATCATCATCATCATCATCATCATCATCATCATCATCATCATCACGTTGGAAGGGACCTTGGAGGTCATCTAGTCCAACCCCCTGCTCAGGCAGGAAACCCTATACCATTTTGGACAAATGGCTGTCCAGTCTCTTCTTAAAAACTTCCAGTGTTGGAACATTCATCGCTTCTGGAGTCAGGTAGTTCCACTGGTTAATTGTTCTCACTGTCAGGAAGTTTCTCCTTAGTTCTAGGTTGCTTCTCTCCTTGGTTAGTTTCCACCCGTTGCTTCTTGTCCTGCCTTCAAGCGCTTTGGAGAATAGCTTGACTCCCTCTTCTTTGGGGCAGCCCCTGAGATATTGGAACACTGCTATCATGTCCCCCCTCGTCCTTCTCTTCATTAAACTAGACATCAGTTGGTATGCTCTCATAACAGACCAGCCCCCTCCCTGAATTCTATTGACTTATCTAGCAGTAATTCGCCTTGACCATTAATAGATCAAATTCTTGTGTATAGATTGCATGAAATAAACTCAAAGTGCTTTTGAACTCTCTCCTGGCTCCTGATTTCCTGCGCCTGACAGTCACAAGGCCACGCAAGAGCAACTTGGAGCTGCTTCAGATAGGCATTTTGGAAAAAAAAATACAAATATGTAAGTATTTATTTACTAAAAAAAATTAAATAAGTTAATTTATTATTCCTTCTTATGAACTGTTTCTCTTTTGTCCAGAGTGTGTGCGTAACATGCCAGAAATGTCAAGTTAGGCGTTTTCTGAATTTTGGATACACTGAGCTCAAAAAGGTTCCCCATCACTGCCTGTTCCCAGATGCAAGCAAACTACGAGTTTATTTCATCTTAAAGGGTGAGCGTTCAAATAAATGTTATGTTTACAGAAAGGCACTTGGCTCGCTTCTGGCTTTATGGAGGGGGAAGTTTCCCTCTTCAACTTCTCCAGATCTCCTTCTATTTCTTGCTAATTGTAGAGTTCTCGATCAAACATTAGCCTCCCTTGTTATTTCCCAACTTCATGGTCCTCGTCATTTGCTATCTGATTTTTAGCTATGATTCGAACAATGCTGATTCGACTTTCTTCCGTTGTGTACAAATCAACCAAGATATCTAAGAGGACGTGTCAGCATTTGCCCACCTCATGGTTTTTCTTTGAGAACTGTTCACAGGAGAAATTAGCCGGTGGAGCCAGAACGGAAAGATGCGCGGAGGTGCAAAACTGATAATTGCACCAGGCAGAACGCTGTTAAACGACTCTATTTCTAACAGTGCTA